TACAGAACAAATAGTTTCTCATTAAACAGTCAGTACACATATTGTTTTATGATATTGGTTAACAACCCCACAACATGTCAACACTCTCCCTTCCTGACCTTGAGGACCTTTTTTTTTTTTTTTGGTGAAAATATGCATAGCAAAAGATACACCATTTAAAAAATTTCTACATGCACAATTCAGTGACATCAATTACGTTCTTCCAGTTGTGCTGCTATTCTCACTGTCCTTTTCCAAATTATTCCATCACCATTGTCTTCAACTCACTGTCCCCTAGGCTTCCAATTAAACCTTTTGAGTTGCTGTTGTCAGTTTGATCTCACATAGATAATTCTGTTTTTTTTTTTTGTACTTTAGATGAAGGTTTACAGAACAAAATAGTTTCTCATTAAACAGTTAGTACACATATTGCCCTGTGACAATGGTTAACAACCCCACGACCTGTCAGCTCTGTCTTTTCTCAACCTTGGGTTCCCTGTCACCAGCTTTCCTGTCCCCTCCTGCCTTCTATTCCTTGTCCCTGTATTGCTGTGCCTCATTAGTCCCACCAAATGATGTTTTCCTGCTCCCTTTGCAATAACTTTCTTGTTATAATGCTGCATCATAATGGATTTCTCTTTGTATATGGCCTTTCTGGCCCTGGCTTTGTAGTTCTGCCAAGATGATTTTCTAGGCTACAATCTTGCAAAGGGGTTGGTGAGTCTACTGCAAGTAGGGTGAGTCAAATAGGGTGGTCAGTAACTATGCAAATTAGGTGACTGTGGCCTACCAAGGGGGTTGGTCAATTCGTGGTCTTGGTGGAAGGAGTAGGCTTATAAAAGGGCCAGTCCCACAGAGGTTGAGGGGAACCTTATACCTCAAGAAGAAGAACCTGGAGCAGAGTGCATCCTTTGACCCCAGGGTTCCTGCACTGAGAACCTCTTAGACCAGGAGACAGAGCTGTAACAGTAGAGATGGGGTGGGACGACACTAGACCAGTGGCAGCAGTATGAGCAGCGGGAACCAGGAGACTGGCACAAGGAGGCTGCTGTGGGCTTGCTGATCCATGGAGCGAGGTGGCTGCAGTGGGCTTACCAATCCATGGAGCGAGAAAGCTGAGTGCCTTCGGGCAGGACACTAGCTGGTTGAGTGGGGTGCCTCTGAAGCCAAAAGAGCTGTAACACTTACCTGAGCAGGGCAGAGGCTTGAGTAGGACCTGGCGGCAGGCACGGCCGAGAAGCAGCTGGGAGCTGTCTTGGTTGGAAGCTGTCTTCTTAGTTGTATCCAGCTATTTCCAAGTCGATTCTGATCTCGAGTTGTAACCTGTTACTTCTCTCACTAAACCACATAATTGTGAGTATGGTCTGTGAACTTTCTGTGGCTGTTGCAATGAATTATCGAACCCAGCAGAGAAGTAGAGAGTGCCGTGGGGAGGGCGGCTGGTGTCAGAATTGATAAAAAAGGTGAACAGTGAAGGTATGTCTGACCTCCGCCTCACAGGAATCAGCTTTGTGCTGATGCTGATTCTCATCTCTCCTGCTTGTGAATTTAGGTGGTCTGATGCTAGTAGATTGCAAATACCTAGGTTTGTATTTGTAGGAAAATAATAGAAACCTGTTACAGGTTTCTTTTTTCACTTAGAGATCTTTCATTTTAATTTGAATTATTTTTTCAAATCTGATTTAGTGCCTTGTTTCTCCTTATGTCTCATCTTGGGTTTTTACTTTTAAAAAACACCTTTATTTTTTGCATTTGAGATTTATATTTCCTGATGAAAAATTAAGACATACAGATAAAGATAAAAGGAGAAAAACAAAAGCTACCCAGACATGACCACTATTAACATTTTGGTGTATGTCTTTTCAAAGAGATCTATCTACTGTATCTCAGACTACATATATATATATATATATATATAATAATATTGTGTTTTTGGTGAAGGTTTACACAGCAGTTTAGTTTCTCATTCAACAATTTCTACATAGGTTGTTGAGTGACATTGATTACATTCTTCACAATGCGTTAACATTCTCATTATTTCCGTTCTGGTTGTTTCATTTCCATTAATATAGTTTCCCTGCCTCCTTACATTCTCATCTTTGTTTTAAAGTAATTGTTGACCATTTAGTTTCATATAGATGATTTTTTAAAGGAGCACAGCACTTACAGGTGATATTCATTATTTTTTGAGCCAGTTTGTTATTTAGCTGCAAGGTGACCTCAGGGGTTAGTTTTGGTTCAAGGTTTCAAGAGTATCTCAGGGCAGTAGTCTTGGGGAGTCCTCCAGTCTCAACCAGTCCAATATGTCTGTTTTCTTCTTTTTTTAAGAATTTGAGGTTCTGTTGCACATTTTTATTCCATTCTATCAAGGTCCATCTATTGTGGCCCTGATAAGAATGGTCAGTAGTGGTAGCTAGGCATCATCTAGTTCTTCTGGTCTCAGGGTGGATGAGGCTGTGGCTCATGTAGACTATTTATCCTGTAGACTAGTTTCTTCTTTGATCATTGGTTTCCTTCTTTCTCTTTTGCTACAAACAAGTAGAAACCAATAGTTGTATCATAGATGGCCACTTGCAAGAGTATGCCTAGGATGTAGAACATGACTTTATGAACTATATTATACCAATTGACTGAGATGCTGTACGAAACTATGGACCTAAGTCAGGCTACATCTATTTAATGTGTATGAATGGGTCTCAAATCTCAGTGCTCTGCTTGCTTGTAGCAGGATGTCACTTTTTTCCTGGCATGACCTTCCATAGTGATTTTCAGTAGGAGTCCCTGGCCATGAGTGGCTTCTTGCCTCTTTTCATTGCTACTTATAAGCCTTATAGTTCCTTTAGCTTTGGAGTTTGTTGCCCTTGCCATCCTTTGACACCTTGACCACTGACTTCTGTGCTGCTGCTGACTGCTTCTGAACCATGCTGACATTCTCTACACTGCCAGTGTCCACACAGCCCACAAACCACTCCTGTCCATGCTGTAGCTGAATTCCTGGGGAGCTTCACCTTTTGTCTTCTCCCTCATTAGCCATCAGAGAAACCATTTTTATGACCAACTCTTTGAAAAGGCGTTTCTCCAGCAAGCAGTTGGGGCCCTGATGATAGCTGTTCCCACTGTTTTGCAATCATTTGTTCCCCAGAATATACAGGCACTTCAGAATGGCTAGATAGGTGCTGGGGATTATGAGATAGTTAGTGCTGTCTTTCATAGTGGTGCCTGGCAAACCAGTAATGGTGGATTTTTTCCTCTTTAAGAAGGGAAACTACTCCTTGCCTAATACGAGTCTAAGCTTTTCAAGGGGAAATTTCTGGCACTTTGTACAGTACCCTGTACAGAGTAGGCCTCCATAATTACTTGTTTTATGAATTGTTGAATCACTACATACCATGTGGTGTGGTAAGGACCAACATGAATCCAATCCCCAAGATGTGGAGATCGATCTGGTCCTCACATTCCCACTTCTCCATTCTCATCGCCAGCTGCCTTCATGACACTCTCTCTGACCCTAGCCACCTGGAGTTAGGTCAGGGCTCACAAGTTAAAAGGACATAGGCCTTCAGACTGCTAAATAGGCAGATGCCAGCTGCAAATTTGGGGGAGTCCACATGGCATCTCAGCCTTCTGTCTGGCTGGCTACATATTTGGGACTGGTTTCCCACTACCCCTTTAGGATGCCAGCTGCAAGCTTGGGAGTCCACATGACACCCTTACTTTGTGACCTGCTGGCTCCCCCTGCCCCTTTGGGTTCAATAATTTGCTGGAATAACTCACAGAACTCACGGAGTATGCCGTGCATACAACAACAGATTTATTACAGCCAAAAAAGATACACATGAAGAGATGCATAGGGCGAGGTCTGGGAGGGTTCCTAGTACAAGCTTCCTTGTCCCAAGGGATGCACTACCCTCCTGAGAGCAGATGTTCTCATCAACCAGGAAGCTCTTCGAGCCTCCATGTTCAGGGCTTTTATCGGCTAGTCCTGTATGATAGGCTAAATCATGCCTCCTGAAGATAGTTGATATCGGCCTGCCAGGGGAATCTTCTGATCTGGCCAGCCCCCGTTCGCCAGCACAGATTCTCAGATGTGGCCTGGAAGTCCCAGAGCAAGACACTCCAATTACTCCATAGGTCATTTCTCTGGAGCCAAGGACAAAGGCCACCTTACTTAGTATAAAACTAGGTCCTTTCTCCCACACAAGTTAAAAGCTAAGTATGATGAGGGAGTCAAAAGAGGATAATAAATTGTTATCACTAGGTTGCTTATTCTCTGATATGTGGTTCTGTTTTTTTAATATAATTAGTATAGTCGAGTTGGGGATACAAGAAATACATACAAGTACAGAGATCAGCTGAGAGGTGAAAATAGTAAGTGCTATGGGAATTCTAAGAACAGAGCACAGAGAGCATATTGGGACAGTACAGCAGTACAGCCTTGTCTCACTTATGCAGCTGGTGTAGGGAAGAGCTGATCTGTTCCTTCTGGGATCAGAATAGTTCATATAGGTGGAGAGGAGTGATGCAAAGGTGCTTGCCAGGTCGAACCCAAAGTTGAGGGAAGGTTTGTGCAGCTAAGGCATTCTGAGATACTCTACACCATGATTATGTACCCCTTTCCACTCCTACAACCATGGAAAGCCTCACTGGGAACAAAATACTAACACCTCCTTTTTTACCTATATCAGAATAGCAGCTGTGGGAAGCATTTTGAATTTAGTACATGGGAGAACAGTGACTGTTAGGAGTGGCAGGCCCTGAAGTCTTGCTTCTAGCAGCTGTGGTGATGGATTTGGGTGTCCTGTTGCCTACTCCCCAAGCTTCATTTTTCTTCCCCACATCTCCAGGGCAGGACTCTCCTCCTTCTCTTTGTTAATAAATTGAGAGAACACCAGGACCACATGTATAGTGGGGGAGCTGGTAATGAGCACCTGCTTCCCCCCATCAGGATGACTTCCAGGCTTCTAAAAAGGGGAAGGAATAGGAGAGCCCTCAAAACCCAAATGCTATTTCCTGTCTTCGTCCATACCAAGGAATGGGACTCCTCATTTTCCAGAGAATGTCAAGATGATTTGCACATTATCACAGAACTCCTTATAAAGATGAAAGGTTTCCTGCTAATGTTCTTTAAATGTAATTCATTTAGTAATGTTATGTAATTTAAGAGAGCAATGGTGGTTCAGTGGTAGAATTTTTCTCCCATGTGGGAAACCTGGGTTCGATTCTTGGCCAATGCACCTCATGTACAGCGCCACTCCTCTGTCAGTGGAGGCTTGTATGTTGCTATGATGCTAAACAGCTTCCAGATTAAGACATACTAGGAAGAAAGGTCTGGCAGTCTACTTCTGAAAATCAGACAGCAGAAACCCTGTGGACCACAACGATCTGATTTGCAACTAATCATGGGATGGCAGCATTTTTTTTTAGTTGTACTTTAGATGAAGGTTTACAGAACAAACTAGCTTCTCATTAAACAGTTAACACACATATTGTTTTATGACATTGGTTAACAACCCCACGACATGTCAACACTCTCCCTTCTTGACTTTAGGTTTCCTATTACCAGCTTTCCTGTCCCCTCCTGGCAGCATTTTTGTTCCATTGTGCATGGGGTTGCCGTGAGTCGGGGGCTGACTGGAGGGCAGCTAACAGCAACATATGACTTAACATTGTAAGGAAAAAGAAGCTATTACTTTCTCTGTAGAAATTTAACAGTTACTTTTATTTTGCAATTTCTGAAAATTTGAGGACATTCTTTTCTCTCTTAAAGGTTAAAACCTAAATTGTAACAGGGCAAATACTGCTGTATTTACACAGGATCCTGTGCTTGGGAAAGGAAACTGTGAGGAGATTAGAAAGGAACAGTTGTTACTGTGTCCCGGGTCTTTGCTTTCTCCTCATGATTTTGGCCCTAGATAAGGCTAAGGAAGAGGAAATGTGGTGCCTTTCTTCTTACCCTACACTAGTCTGTTGCAATTGGTGATCTGTTTTCTCATCTTCCCTCTTTGAAGGAGTTATTTGAAGAAAAATGGGCTTCGTAAATCGACCCCAGTCTCTCCTCTACACAAAGAACCCTTAAGGATACTAGCAGGGAAGAAGCAAATTAAACGGAGAGCTCATCTGCACCTCAGAAAAACAAAAACATGGCGTTTTGAGGAGTGAAGGTAGCATGCTGTTGGCCATGGGTGATCAAGACACAGCCAGACAATGTGGACCAATTTCTTCACACTACGGGTTTTCTGCTGTCTGTTTGCAGTGTTGATGGTGGCGGTGCTCATCATCAATGTGACTCAGGTGGAGGTGAGTGATACTTGTTCATGACTAAGGGAGCCAAATCTAGGATTTGAGGCTAACTCGCCAGGGACATTGTTGGTCATCAGGAAACTTATCCTGGTCACGGTTCTTATTTTCATTTATTTAAGAAGTATTTGGTGCCTACTTTGGTTATATGCTGTGTTAGTCACTGAGGGTGCTGGTGGTGGGGGCAGGTGCTGATGAGTGGTGAAGAAGATAGACTTATTTCTTAACTTATGGAGCCCATATTCTAAGTGTGCATGGGAGAAAAAAATAGTAAGTGATAGTCAATCATCTAGTATAACAGTAAATGATAATTAGAGGGTGTGAAAAGAGCTATAAAGAAAGGAAAGGGAGCTACTTTAGGGTGATGAAGGAAACCCTCTTCAAGGAGGGGACTTTTTAGCTGTTACCTGGCAAAAATCTGAAAGAGATTTCAGGAGAGGGAGTTGATGATGAGTCGATTTTGAAGACTACTGTATAGCACTCAAGGTCAGGGACTGTGAATTACTGAACCCCTCCCAAGTGCCTGCCACTGAGAAAATGCTTAGTAGTACTCTCCTGCCTTCTGCATGAACTCATATGTCACCAAAATTTATGGAGTAGTTGCTGTACAAAAGGGTGCTGTCCTTTTTATTTTGTTGGCTTGTGGTACTTCTCAGGTTAAAGTTCCATCTTAATTATGGCATTTCTTTGCTTCTTGCCTTTATTAGCACAAGATGTTCTAAAGCTAAGCCCTACATTTTTTCTTCTTCCTGTTTGACTCACTTTGTGATTTTAGCAGAACCTTTAATCTCATTGTGAAATGGGAATGCCAAGGTCCTGCAGATATTTTTTGTGAGCCAGTAGTAAAATTTGTAAGGTACTTTGAAGAATGTAAAGTGATTCTGTTAAAGATCTATTGAAATGCCTTTAAGTGTGAAAGCCAGGTATTTCCCCTTCCTTTTCTTTGCTTAAACTATCCTTACATGTTTTGCTAAAGATGCCAATTCCACACTGACAGTGCCTATACCCAGAAACTGTCAATGATGCTTCTAGATATTATAAAAACTCCTAACCTCTTAAGAGTTTTTTTTTTAACCTTTCTCTTTTAAAAATGTGATCATTTTTCTTTTTTTTCCTCCCCATATACGTAGGCCTCAGTTTTGTTGAATTTGAACATTTAATATAAGGCCACTTAAAAAAAAAAAATTGTTGAGTTGATTCCGACTCATAGTGACTGTCTTAGTCATCTATTGCTGCTATAACAGAAATACCACAAGTGGATGGCTTTAACAAAGAGAAATTTATTTCTTCACAGTAAAGTAGGCTAAAAGTCCAAATTCAGGGCGTAAACGCCAGGGGAAGGTTTTCTCTCTGTCAGCCTTCTCATCACTCTTCCCCCGGACTAGAAGCTTCTTGGCGCAGGGCCACCGGCACTGCTTTCTTGGTGGTGTGAGGTCCCCTCTCTCTGCTCACTTCCCTTTCCTTTTTATCTCTTGAGAGATAAAAGGTGGTGCAGGCCACACCCTGGGGAAACTCCCTTTACATTGGGGTCAGGGATGTGACCTGGGTAAGGGTGTTACAATCCCACCCTAATCCTCTTTAACATAAAATTACAATTACGTAATGGAGGGCAGCCACACAATACTGGGAATCATGGCCTAACCAAGTTGGCACGTATTTTTGGGGGACACAATTCAATCCATGGCAGTTTACTGTATAGGACAGAGTAGAACTGCCCCATAGGGTTTCCAAGGCTGTAAATCTTTATGGACGCAAACTGCCACATCTTTCTCCTGCAGAGCGGCTAGTGAGCTTGATCTGCTGTGCAGCCAAGCGCTTTAACCACTGTGCCACCAGGGCCCCTTAAGGCCACTTAGCAGGTGTCAATTTTGTCTGAATATATCATGATACTTAATAGGATGTGATGTTTGTTGTTCAGTATCAATAATGGTATGTTAAAGCCTCAATTAGCCAGAATTTCTTAGTTAAAATATTTGCTATTATTTTTCTAAGTGCTTTGAAAGAGTTTCTGTGAAAAATGAAAAACACACCAACTTGGAGAGGTTATCCTGGATTTCTATTCTCCTGCAGACTCTCTTATCTGCAGCTAGGTATGTGTAGATCTGATTTTCAGAGTGATGACCACAAAGCCCTAGAAGATCCTTAATAAATAAAATGTTCTGCTATGGTTCCTTAACTGCCAGTTAAGTAGCAAAATAGTATCAGTACGTCCTAGAAAGGTTTTCAACAAGACATGTCTTTGAGCTTAGCTCTCAGATAAAGAGCTCAGTCGTTCAACTGCTATTCTCTCAGCAGTCCAGTTAATGGTTTTTGCTGGATCGAGCAGTTGGGGAAAGATCATTGTAGCAACATGTGTTTTACTTGGTGACAGTTTGTGTTGGACAGCTTGGAAAAAGTAAGTCAGAAATCTTATTTTCACTTTAGAGAAAGGCTGGGTCCCAGGAGAATCTTTGATACTGAAGAGTAACAGTCATTGAGAAAGGAAATAAAATAGGAAAGATCTGATATATTCCAGGGAGGACTTGTTAGAGATCTATTGGTAAAGAACGAGAAGTGGGAAGGATATGAGATCAGGATCAGTCTGTATGATTTCCATTAAGATTTGTAGAGTAAGTTAATAACAGAGAGGAGACTAGGAAAGAAATAAGAAAATAAGTAACAGGGAATAAAAATGTAAAATGAGTCCCTAGGTGTGCAAACGGTTAAGTGCTTGATTACTAGCCAAAAGGTTGGCCATTCAAACCCACCCAGAGGTGCCTCAGAAGATGCGCCTGGCAATCTGCTTCTGAAAGATCACAGCCTTGAAAACCCTATGGAACAGTTCTACCCTGCACAATTGGGTCATTATGAGTTGGAATTGACTGGATCGACAGCTAACAACCACCATAGTGACAATGACAGTGATATCATGATATATTATTGTTCCATAACTTATTTAGCCAGTCGCTATTGATGGACTGGTTGATCACTATACTAATAAGTGTCAGTAGTATGCTCCGATTTTCTGATAACCAGACACAGACATGATGAGGGTAAATCAGTAACGGTGTGCTTATATAAAGGATATAGAAGGAAGTCATTTCAGTCTGGATGAATGAAGGTGCAATCTTCTAGAATTCAGTCCTCAGTTATAGGCAGTGATGTCTGAGTGAATTAGGGTCCTAGAAGACCTTCTGGAAGCTTGGCTGTCTCTCTCTGGGCCCAGCCTTATATATTAGTTTAGGGTAGTTCTGCAGATAGGCTATTCTGGATATGTGTTGGGGACCACCTTATCTGAGCCAAGTGTATCGCAACAAACTTGGTGTTATAAGGTATATAATATAAGTAGAGTACAGCTCTCCCAGGCTGACTCAGCTTGGTCCAAGTACACGTTCCTGAACCTAGAGCTGCAGATCTATAATAAGGGTTGATCACCTGGATGTCTTTGAGTGTCACATTCACATGCTCCTAGACTTTATAGGAACTTTCCTGTATAGACATTTAGGGTGTCTCTGGTATTATTATTTTTTTCTATCACAAATAGAAAAATGTGTATAACATTCCTTTAATGTGCATCAGAATCACCTGGAGGGCTTTTTAAAACATAGATTGCTGGATTCCTCTTCTAGATTTAAAGAAGACTAATGAGGTGTGACAAGTAAATGTAACACATGATCCTGTATTAGGTCTTTAGTGGAAAAATTTTGCTATAATAGATATTATTAGGACAATTGACAGCATTGGACTGTGGACTGTAGATTAGATGAAAGTGAGTCAGAATTGCCTTGACAGCAACGGGAGTATAACAGTGACAACTTTCCTGAATTTGTTAACTCTACAGTGGTTAGTTAAGAGAATGTTTTTGTTCTTTGGGAATACACGTTGAAGAATCAAAGGCTAAAGTGTCATGATATATGTATGCAACCTACTGCGAAATGGTTCAAGAAAATAATACATATGCAGAGAGAGAATAAAGTAAATTTGGCAAAATATTAACAATTGATGAATCTGGGTAAAGGGTATATGGTTGTTATTTGTGCTATTCTTGTAGCATCTGAGAGTTTGAAAATATTTCAAAATATAAATTAAAAATTAAAGTTACGGATTATTTAAAATTTTGATGGATGCAGGTTGCCCTCTATGTCACAACACCAGTAGTTCCATACCACCATGAGTGGTTTGGTGCAGCTGTTCGATGTAGCTGTTTTGATACAGCTATCCTGATGTCAGTGGAAACCCTGGTGGCGTAGTGGTTAAGAGCTGCCATCTGCTAACCAAAAGGTCTGCAGTTTGAATCCACTAGGCACTCCTTGGAAACTCTATGGGGCAGTTCTACTCTGTCCTAAAGGGTCACTATGAGTTGGAATTGACTCGATGGCAACAGGATTTTGATATCAGAGGACACTTTGTTTCCAGTTTATCATGAATATTTTCAAAAGTATAGAAAAGTTGAAAGCGTAGTGCAGTGAACAACCCATGACCCAATACCCAGAACCAACAGTTGTTGATATTTTGCCATGTCTACTTTACTTCTTGATGATACTTTCTTTGCCGAATCATTAGAAAGTAAGTTGCAAACATTCTGACATTTTACTCTTAAGCACTTCAGTATGCGTCTCCTAAAAATAGTTATTTGCCTACATAACCACAATCCCATGATCACATCTAAGAAAATTAACAGTTCCCTAATGTCATCCATTACGTAGTCCATATTCATATTTCCTCAGCTGTCACCCAAACATCTTTTATAGCTATTTTTTGGAAACATGATCCAAACGACATTTACGTATTGTACTAGGTTATGTACCTTTAATCTCTTAATTTAAGAAGTTTACCACCTTTCATTTTTCATGATACTGACTTTTTTGGATAATCAGACCAATTGTTTTATATAATGTGTTCCACATTGTGGATTTGTCAGGTACTGTTATCATGGTGAGGAGCCCTGGTGGCGCAGTGATTAAGAGCTTGGCTATTAACCAAAAAGTCAGCAGTTTGAATCCACCAGCGACACCTTGGAAACCCTATGGGGCCATTCTCCTCTGTCCTATAGGGTGGCTATGAGTTGAAATCAACTTGATGACACCAAGTTTTTTTTTTTTTTTTTTTTTTGGTCTTATCATAGCATTATTTAACTTGCTCCTCTAAACTGTATTTTTTGTAAATGCTTGATTAGATTTAGGTTAAGCATTTTTGGCAAGAATATTTCATAATTTCCTGTTTCATACCTCGTATTGCATGTCCGGTTGTTCTGGGGACTTCTAAAAACTTTTTTATCATGAAAAATTATAAGCATTCACAGATGTTTGCAGAATGAGCCCCAGTAGTACCCTATCATCCAGCTTCAAAAATGATCATACTGCCATATTGCCAGTAGGGTTTCAATATGAAACCCTTCATATTTGTTTGTTTGTTTATTTGATTATTTGTTGGAGTATTGTAAAGCAAATCCCAGACATAAGGTAATTTTTCCCATAACTACCTGAGTGTGTATCTCTAACTTCTAACATTTTAAGATATAATCACTATGACATTGCCATATGTAACAAAATTAACAATTCCTTAGTATCATTTAATGTCCAGTCCATTTCATGTTTCTCTTAATATTTCAAAGATAACTTTTTATAGTTGTTTTGCTTGAATCAGGATCTAAAGAAAGTCCGCTCATTGCTTTTGCTTGTTGCACCTCTTAAGTTTCTCTTATTCTGTAATGATACACATTCCTTTTTAAAATTTTTGTACCTTTGATTATTGGACAAACCTGGTCATTTGTACTATAGAATGTTCCACATTCACGATTTGGGTGATTGCTTTCTCGAGGTTTGTTTCTTTCATATTTGCTGTGATTGTTAGAGCAAAAGGTTTGATTAGATCTAGGTTCCAATTTTCTTGGGCAGTGGAATTGATAGGTTGTGCTGTGTACTTCCTTACATGGTATCGTTAGGCATGTGAAGTCTGTTTGTTTCATTTTTAGTGATAAGATTTATCAGTGAGTTCAGGTGCTGGAGAAATTTTGATGAACTTTAAATATCAAACTTTAACCCATCGGCTTAAAAAAAAAAATTACCAAGTAATGTGCAAAAGAGAGAACTTTTCCCTTCACTTACCCTCATTCCATTGCCAACCTCCATCCCTGAGGTACGTCTTGGGGATGAGGTAGAGGAGGATAGAAGCAAATCGAGATCTGACTCTAAAGAAAGACCTCTATTTTTATTTATTAGCTGTCTTATTCAGATTGTTTTAGGGAAATCATAAATCATCACTGCCTGTATCCCTGTTGCAAATCACACCAAAGCACAGTACCTCGATTCTTTCCATTGGAGCCCAGATCCACACCTGCAGCTTGGAGGGTCAGCTTCGTGCCTTTTGATTACAGACTCATGTGTGTAACACCCCTTGTTTTTTCCATCCTCAGTGTCCTAATTCAGACAGCTTGTCCCAGTCAGCAGTCACACAGGCCTCTCAGGCTCTGGAGGGTGACAGCTTACCTGTGGGTGATCCCCCAAGGTAAATTTTACAGTCACCACAAGCCTGTGTTTTAGGTAGATTGTCCCATATTTTCAGATTTGCTGAGTATCCATTTTCTTCCAGTGCTCTGGAAGGTGACTGCCTATTACTGTATGCGCCACAGGGTCTTTTGGATACTGTTTCAAAATAGCCCTGTCAGAGAGGCTGTATTTTGCTTCCTTCGGGAGTGTGGTGGAGAATAATTTTCTTCATGCACAAAGACTGTATATTGTAAGGTACAAGTCTGGCTATTCCAGTTATACCAGAAGAAAAGTTTTCCCACATGTGTTGCTATAGCATAGTAAAGCAGATTTCTAAGAAGCAAGCAGCAGTCTAGGAAGATAGTTTTAAATATTAAAAAAAGCCTTACTAATGCCCATTGCTTTCCAGGAGATTGGTGGAGCTAACGTTACTATTGCACTCTTTGGAGGGACAGATCAATTAGATGTTACTCATCTGTATTCCCCATTGTGCCTTGCAGTGACCTTCACATTATGAAAGTTAAATTATGGTACCAACAATTGAATCAGTGGTGCAAGTGAACATTGGGTTTGTGGGACAAAGAACTTGGTTTGACCCCTTGACTCTAGTTTCTGAAAATAACCTGAGCAGTCAAGATGCCTGTGTTTCCAAAATAGCTGGGCTAGTAGAGGCTACACAGGCCCCATACCTGGCCAACTAACCTCTGAAAGATAGGGGCGCCTAATATAGCCATGCGTATTCATTGATTGGATTGATCATAACTATGTATTAAGGCCCAAGTCATGCATAGTCATTGAGGTCCCAATGACTAGGGGACCCAGGACCTTGGAGCACTCTTTTCTGTGAGGCCTCCTGGATCTGTGAGAACATCCATGCATATCCCTGGGGACAATGGAGGCCCTGTGCTGGGAACTCCCCCAGACCTTGCCTGTACCCTTTCTGGTTATAATCAGTGGGTAACTGTAAGTATAGGTTATAGTTTCCTTGAGTTCTATGAGTCATTCTAGCAAATTATTGAACCCATGGTGGGGGTGGGGGTGGTGATGGCAGTGAGAACCAGCAGAGAGGCTGGCGTTTGCCCATTTGGCAGGGCCTGAAAGGACAGAGTTCTAACTTGTGAAGACCCAACTCTGGGTGGTTAGGGTCAGAGAGAGAAAGTGCCACATGAGAGGCTGGTGTCAGAGTGATAAAGAGGAAAGTAGGCGTATGAGTTATCTTCACAATTTGGAAGTTAACCTTATGTTGGCTGTTATTCATACAGGGTTTAAAATAATTACCCTAAAAGCCATTTCCAAAAAGAAATCTTCCAGAGGGACAATTTATTCTTGGATAAATCAGATAGCATTGCTAGTTAGGCAATTTTACTGCAATAAGTTGCTATCACTTAGCTTGCATACAGGTGGATATCAGAAGATCTGGGCCTAACTCTGACCAACTGAACGATCTTCAACAAGTTACCTGATCTGAATTTCCTCTACATAAGAAAAGATTAAACCAGTTTGATATCTAAAATCATTTCCACATTTTACTTTTCTGATTCTGTTATGACCCAAATATTCAACAGAACAGCAACATCCCCTGATATCAGTCATCTTTAGAATGTACTTCAGCTTTGTTTCTTCCCATCCTGATTTTATTGTATTTCAGTAAGATAACCCCGTAAAACTTGTGAGCTCTGGTTTTTGAAACAGTATTATCCCAAGTGGTTTTATTAATGTTTAAATGAGGCAGAAATTTGCTTGGCTGAACATAAAGAGATTTATTATAGCTGTTGTTTCTGTTGTTTGTGTCTTTCTCTTCAGTTCTTGGACAATGAGACTGTTTCAGCCACATTCATCGACAACAGTGGACAGTTTCTTCCCCCACAGGTGACAGGAATTAGCCGGAATCCCTACTGTGGCTATGAGCACCAGGCCCTGTCCAGCCGGGAGCGTGTGGAGGAGGACTCCTTGCTAGCGGCCTTGCAGTGGCAGGTGCCTGGCATGGGCACAGTCCCCTTTGTTAAGAGCACTGACCCTGCTTCCAGCTACTTTGTCATCTTGAACTCTGCAGCCTTCTTCAAGGTGGGAAGCCAACTGGAGGTGCTGGTTCATGTACAGGATTTTCAAAGAAAGCCCAAGAAGTACGGTGGAGACTACCTGCAGGCCAGAATCCACTCTCCCAAGCTGCAGGCTGGGGCTGTGGGCAGAGTGGTAGACTACCAGAATGGGTTTTACAAGGTCTTTTTTACTTTGCTCTGGCCAGGCAAAGTTAGAGTGTCTATATCTCTGGTCCACCCCAGTGAAGGAATCAGAGTTCTTCAGCACCTGCAGGAAGAGAAACCAGACAGGGTCTATTTCAAGAGTCTTTTCCGTTCAGGAAGAATTTCTGAAACTACTGAGTGCAATGTGTGTCTTCCCGGGAGTCTGCCCCGGTGTAACTTCACAGATCTCTACAGTGGAGAGCCCTGGTTCTGCTTCAAACCAAAGCAGCTCCCTTGCAGCAGCAGAATTAACCATTACAAAGGTGGCTACCTGAAGGGCCTCCTAACTGCCGCAGACAGTGCTTTCTTCCAGAGGTATGTGCTCCTTGTTCTAAATTAAAAAAAAACAAAAAAAAACCCAAACCCATTGCTGTTGAGTCCAACTCGTAGTGACCCTGTTGGACAGAGTAGAACTGCCCCATAGAGTTTCCAAGGAACTCCTGGTGGATTTGAACCACCAACCTTTTGGTTAGTAGACGTAGCACTTAACTACTACACCACCAGGGTTTCCATGGTTAGATGCCACAAAGTAGGTGGCAATACCTTAACCGTATGTGTGTTGTAAGGCCCAAGGGCCTCTTTCATCCTTATCAAGGGGAGTGCTAACCTTCTTTCCTTTCTAAGCGTGGTTTAAAGAGCCTTTTTCCTCCCTCCTTGTCCCACTTAGGAGAAGCTTTCTTGTTTTGGCTATGTGTTCCTGATAGCTTCCTAAACTTGGCCTAATTCAGGTAAGGTAGTACGTAAGAAAATAAGTACAGATTTGTATTTTGTTATCAGTTTTATGGAGCACTGGTGGCGCAGTAGTTAAGAGCTCAGCTGCTAACCAAAAGGTCAGCAGTTCGAATCCACCAGCTGCTCCTTGGAAACCCTATGGGGCAGTTCTTCTCTGTCCTGTAGGGTCGCTATGAGTCGGAATTGACTCAGCAATAGTAGATTTAGTTTGGTTTTTGGCATCAGTTTTATAATAGTTTCATATAGTTTATTATAAGTGAAGCTTAGTGCATGTTCAAGTTCAAATTAAAGACCTTTTACCCCTCATTTTTTGTTTTTCACCTCATGTCTATGTTTTATTTCAGAACTGTATGGCATATCTATGAGCAAGATTACTTACTCATAGAACAGATAAAGAAGTCATCCAAAAACAGGCCTGTGAAGGGTCTAGTAGTCAGGCTGGTGTTTTAATTTTTTTAGGAATTTTATTTTACTTCCCAGCTGCATGGACTGTTGAACACAAGTTTTAATTTGTGTTAATAAAATAAATTGTTTAAATGATAATAACATCAGTTTTTAAAATTATATAAAGGAATACCAGTGCAAACTACTTTTTTTTTTTAAAGTTTACAATTGTTGAAATCATTGCAGTGTTGTATACAAATTCCTCTTTAGAACCCAGACATAGAACATTTCAGCATAATGATCAATATATGGAATAATGTGCAGGATGGAATAAATAGAATCTGTATGAATTAAACTTTGTGTTCAAGATTCCATAGAGTCCTAAAGTAAATTAAAAGTCCTAAAAAATTAAAAATTACAAGAGCTATGGGTTAAAATGTACAAATTATTATTTGAAAGCATGTATAAATGTTTTAAAAATTTTAATGAAATATATATTTTTTAACATTTGCTGGTAGAGAGGTATTTTTGTTGAGTACATCTGGGCATCCTAAAAAATTCCATGTTTTATGTCTGCTCAGTACTTGATTGGGCAAAAGTTGGTACCATAAGACATGTGATCTATAGGAGTTCCTAAAATTACACCCTCTAATTTTCCACTTCTGGAATTAGTTTTTGGTCCTCAGCTTAAGTGTACATATGGTGGGCTCATGCCATACTTTTAGAAGGCCAGCAGAGGGAGCACTACTCAATGTCTTTACTGTTCTTGCCTAGTATCATGTATGACTCGGTACAAAAGGTCTTTAGCTTTAGTTTTAAATATGGATTCAGATCTCAGACTTGCTGTTACCAGTGACTGTGAGCACATTCTTTTATTTATGTGCATGTTTTGCCTATGTGTGAGGACTACTCAGTTACCCCCCTTTAGAGTTGCGTTGTCAGTCGGTTAACTGGCCTTGTGAAGGGAAGGAAACAAAACTTACATCATTTCCTCAAATTCCATGTGGAAAAAAGTGGTCAAAAGGCTAGAAAATTAGATTAGTAAAAATTAAAAAAAACAAAACAAAACTATGCCTGATACTATATCTCACTATTAAAAAACAGTAAAGTACTTCTGAATCCAGAACAATAAAATCATGTTTTTGTTTCTGCCCTTGCCTGGATACCCTGGGTGAAGCATGCTGCAGTAGAATCATTACAAAATTCTTCTCACCTGGGAATGAGCTGAGAAAACAGTGTTTGGGGCAGCATAGGTTTTTAGATACCAAGAATTTGACAGAGTCTAGATACTGATTTTATTTTTTACATTTTTGATTTTGTTAAAGTTCTGAAATATTGCACCAGGCCATATGAAAAGAAAATAGTGTCATGGATTGAATTATGTCCCCCCAAAAATGTATCAGTTTGGCTGGGCTATGATTCCCAGAATTGTGTGGTTGTCCTCCATTTGGTGATTGTCATTTTATGTTAAAGAGAATTAGGGTGGGATTGTAACACCCTTGCTAAGTTCACATCCCCGATCCAATGTAAAGGAAGTTTCCTTGGAGTGTGGCCTGCACCACGTTTTATCTTACAAGAGGTAAAAGGAAAAGGAAGCAAGCAGAGAGGAGGGACCTCATACCAAAAAAGAAACAAGCATTGGGATCAGAGCACATCCTTTGGACCTCAGGTTCCTGTGAGGAGAAGCTCCTACCTAGTGCAGTGGAAGATTGACAAGAAGGACCTTCCCCCAGAGCTGACAGAGAGAGAAAGCTGGAGCTGACACCCTGAATTTGGACTTCTAGTCTACGAGACTGTGAGAAAATAAATTTCTCTTTGTTAAAACCATCCACTTGTGCTATTTCTGTTAGATCAGCACTAGATGACTAAGACAATAGATTGAAATTGATCTTTTCAGGGATCTTTGAGTATACTATTTCGAGTTCATGACCTGAATATATTGAGTTGTACTAATTTTTACCTTTCTGCTCAAAAGATTACTTAATTCAGAAAAAATTAGGAAGCTTAGCCTTGGTCCTTGGTTCCCTAAATGAAGTCGGACAATTAAGGCAATTGTAGTCTGTTCTTTACCCACAAGGAAAAAAGTGTTAGTCTTAGAAAGGATACTATTTTTGCTTTAAAAAATCCCTTTAATATGAAGGAATGCCTTTTGAAATAATGAGCCTATCATATAAAAAGCTTCCCTTTTATTTTAGCCTGATTTATGCCTAAATCTATTTTTGACCAGTGTTTCTTACATTGGGTGCCAAGGAATTTAAGGGAACAGTGAGGGGGTTTGTGGGCCTTACTCTGACCTACTCTGTTGGGTCATCCAGCCCCCCGCTTTTCACGTCATCATCCACCTTCTTTCCATCATCACCTCTTCTTTTTTTTTCTTTCTCTCGAACTTTGTATTTTGAAAAACTTCAGATCTTTAGAAACATTGCAAGGATAATAGCAGTGACCACTCATATACATTTAACCTAGATTCATCATCATCAGTATTTTGCCACATTTGCTTTCTCTCTCTCTTTCTCTGTATGTATATGTATGTGTGTGTGTTTAATATTTTTTTCCCTGAACCACTTGAGAGTAAATTGCACCTGAACGTTTGAGAGTAAGTCATAGACATCATGGCACTTCACCCCTAAATACTAAAGAATAAGGACTTTCACAATACAGTTATGTCATGGATTGAATTGTGTCCCCCCAAAAATGTGTGTATCAATTTGGCTAGGCCATGATTCCCAGTGTTGTGTGGTTGTCCTCTATTTTGTGATTGTAATTTTACGTTAAAGAGGATTAGGGTGGGATTGTAACACCACCCTTACTCAGGTCACATCCCTGATCCAGTGTAAAGAAAGTTTCCCTGGGGTGTGACCTGCGCCACCTTTCATCTCTCAAGAGATGAAAGGAAAGGGAAGCAAGCAGAGAGTGGGGGACATCATACCACCAAGAAAGCAGTGCCAGGAGCAGAGTGCACCCTTTGGACCTGAAGTTCCTGCACAGAAAATCTCCTATCCAGGGGAAGATCGATGACGACATGGACCTTCCTCCAGAGCCGACAGAAAGTATCCCCTGGAGTTGATGCCCTGTATTTAGACCTGAAGCCTACTAGACTGTGAGAAAATAAATTTCTCTTTGTTAAAGCCATCCACTTTTGGTATTTCTGTTAGAGCAGCACTAGATGACCAAGACAAGTGATCACATTCAGGACATTTATTATTGAAACAATTCTGTTATTCAATATGCAGTCTGTATTCAAGTTTCTCCAGTTGTCCCAATAATGCACTTTAAAGCCACCTTTTTAATTTTGATTTAAGCTCTAATTGATGATCACACAGTATGTTTTATTCTGCTTAATCTCCTTTAATCCAGAGCAATTCTCTGATTTATTTTATTTTTCATGACATGAGCATTTTTGATGTCATTGTTTGCAGAATGCCCCTTAATTTGGGTTTGTTTTTTTCCACACAGCTAGATTAAAAAATTAAACATTTTTGCAGGAAAACTATAGAGGTGTTTTCTTCTCTTTCTTACTTAAAGGTCTAAAGGAAAAGTAGGTTTTATGTACTCTCTTAAAAGCCATGTTCTCTCTTAAATGTCACCCAATTTAAGTTATGAAAGTCTATTATTCTCTAACATAGCTCTCTATACTTCACTGCTTTGTTTTTTTGATCTATCTTCCCATTAAAATGTCATTTCCACAAGGGGGAAGTGCTGTGTGTTTTGTTTACTGTTATATCCCTGGCATCTAGGACAGTGTCTGGCACATAGAAGGTGCTGAAAATTATTAAATGAATGAGTGAATCTCTTCTGAAATTGATGAAACAATAAAAAGTCATGACTTTAAGTTCTCATATAAATACTTTGGAAAGTTAGCATTTTATTTTTCTGTTTGTTTTTTGGTGGAAGCAATCCAGTTACAACTGTAATCAGTTTCTCCCCTAGTTTTTCATCCATCAAATATTTACTGAATACCCACTCCAGTTCAAGTCTGTGCTAAGTGCTAAAGATACAAAGGTGAATGTAGTACAGTCTATGCGTTTGAACAGTGTATATTTTAGTCAGGGGAACATACCTTAAAGAGCCATAGTAATGACAAACAAAGTGCTGCATGAGCACATCAGGGCAAATGTTCCCAGTAGGACTCATCCCAGATCTGGGCAAGGCCTAAGAAACCTGACATTTGACTTAGTGCTACGTAGACTTGTAACTTG